CACCGGTCTGTTGGTTTCAAAATTAGGAGCATTTTTTGGCTTTATTTTATAGTCCATAATAAGGTGGTCCAGACTGAACCATCCCATGCCAGGCATTCTGCCCACTGGCCCCTCAGACCATAAGAGTGCTCACTGCTGTATATAGGTAACCAGTGGGGCCGCTGAGTGGATAGGCGGCTTCAGGACAAGGTGCAGAAGATGCAGACTCAAGTGCAGGAGACTGTATAAACCACTAGCAGGCAATAAGAAACAGGTAGTGGGGCTGCAACACAAAATCAGAATAAGCACAGCAAACTCCCAACCCAGATAGCCACACACAGTCCCCATGTGTAAGAATAGACATGCCTATCTGACTCAGGCCGCAACGCATTACTTTGTCTTAGTGACTGTGGACTATGCAGCAAATCGATACCTGGAACTAGTATTTTCAGTAGGACTGTTGCTAAGGAACTATTGTGATGCATATCTCCTGGTACAAAACAACAGAAGTGGTTCACTGTGACACCCACAAACAAATGGCCTAGTCGAATGTCTGTAGGGGTTAAAGATTTTTCTTTTTTTTTTTATTAGAAGAAAGTTTAGACAGCAAAACAGTATCATTGCTGCTATTTTATCTTTGCCTATATTGACTGTATGCTGCAAAAGTATGTATGTAGAAACGTATGGTGGAAACAGAAATTAACCTCACTTCACACATATGATGCTTTAAATATCATATAGACCACAAAGTGTTGAGCACTGCACATTACAGATCACAAAGCAGTACAGAGAGGAGCACAAGTACAGCTTGCTACTGCACATACCAACCAAAGAAAGATAAAAATTCGATCCAAATCAGTACAAACTTTAACATGCATGAGGATATTTATGGTAATGCAGACATCATTGAAGCATATTCGAAACACACCTCCAGCCAAAGGGAACAGACTCCAAAGCGGACTCAACATTCAGGTATGGACACACAGATAATGATTAATAAGAGTACTGTGAGTTTGTGCAGTAAAATTTAAGTTCAGTACAAGTAACTCCTGTCTTGTCTGCTATTGACCCAGTATTCAGTAGTATTTCATGTACATTTAATTATGAGCAGGGAGGTAGGACAATTTATGTAAAAGTGACTGTAAAATTAAGTGGTAGATGAATAAAATCATAATGTAAATATCTCTGAAACTCCTTCTACTCTCCTATTATTCCCTGTAATACATGTTTGTTTCCCCTCAGAATCTGAGCCCACAGGGAGACGATGCTACCAACTGGCTATAGTGTGTCTTGGGATATTGTGTTTTCTGCTGCTGATGACTGTCATAGTGCTGTTTGCTTACAGTAAGTTTGTTAATAATGCTTTAATACAAGTCCCTATCAGGTGGTATGGTGGTGCAGTGGTTAGCACTGTTGCCCCACATCTCTGGGACCAGGGTTTGAATCACTGTCATTGCTCCATGTGTGTGGTGTTTGCATGTTCCCCCCATGTTGTTGTGGGGCTTCCTTTAGATACTGCATTGTCCCTCCACAGTCCACAAACATGCTGAAGGTAACTGGAGTTACCAAATTCTCTGTAGGTGTGCATGTGTGACTGTGCCCTGCAATAGGTTGGTGCCCTGTCCTGGGTTGTTCCCTGTCTTGTGCCTGTAGCCTCTAGGATAGGCTCCGGTGACCCTGAACAGAAAATGTATAGATAGTCCCCATCAGCTTTCTCAGTGTGGGTGGCATAATGCTGTATTTTGTGGAGAATATGTTTGACTCAGAAGGTCAGGATGCAGAAGCTTGCTGATAAAATTCTCTGCTAGAGAGAGTGATGCCACCATTGTGCCCTTGAGCAAGAGCCTTAACTGTGACTCCTCAAGGGACTGGCTGACCTTGATTTTGCAATTATGTTGCTTTGCATAACAGCTTCTTCTGAATAAATACAAATTTAAAATGTATTCAGATAACTTGATTTATCCCAGAAATAAACTCAATACAGAGCAACAGTCAAACATTAATATGCCACAGACAACAGATCAGTGTATGAGTACAAGGACACAGACAATGCACTAACTCTTATGCCCTTGGGTTTGAGTGAGAGAAGGGAAAAAATCAAACAGAAGAATGCATGTTGTCATAGATTTTAGTGTTATAGATTAAAGGGCAAAGTCTTCATCTAAAATGACTACTGTCGACATAAAGCAGCCTGATAGCAGAAGGAATGATGGACTTGAAATAACAATTTGTTTTCCTGAGGAGAGCATAATTGTGCCTACCTGAGGGCATTACAGTGAATTCACTGAACAAAATGTGACCAGGTTTACTAAGAATTCCTTTTGCTTTCTGAATTACATGTTTCTTCCAGAGGGAGCACAAATCCCTTTGCTGGACTTCAATAATTTTGGAGCAAACCTTGACAGTGCCATTTAGACTATTCTTGTCCATCACAGACAACCCATTGAATCCACAAATAAATGAGAACGTTAAAAGACTTTCAGTAAATGAGTGATAGAAGTTACACAGGATAGTTTTACAGACACAAAAGAATTAAGCTTCCATATTGAGTACTTTGTTAGCCATATATGACAATCAACTGTGTGTTCACATCAAACTTGAGTTTAGAGTCGAACACTTTGCCTAGATTCTTGTATGCATCAAAAATTTGGACCTCATCATCATGTATGATACTAGCCTTTGGTTTCTCATTGTTGTTCTTTAAATCAATGATAAATTCCTTAGTTTTTGACACATTAAGGTCAAGGAAATTATCATCACGACATTTAACAAAAGCAGATAGGCCCTGACTGCGATCTGACTCTGATCTCTGAAGTAGAGACAATAGGGTAGAGTGTACGGTGGCCGATAAGGGCAAATCAAATTAACTTTTCAGAAAACAAAATTACAAAAGTCAAGACAAATTAACAAAGCCAAGCAAAAACGAACACACTTAAAAGTGCCCTCACACTTACAAGAGTTCTCATCTCGTAAATTTGTTTCGTCGCATGTATATTTATTTTGGAACTTGTACATTTGTTTCCGCACTTGTAAATTTGTTTGGGCACTTGTAAGTGTGTTAGTTTTTGCTTGGCTTTGTTAATTTGTCTTGACTTTTGTAATTTTGTTTTCTGAAAAGTTAATTTGATTTGCCCTTATCGGCCACCGTAAGAGTGCCATCAGAAAACTTAACAAGCTGTTCTCTTGAGATATGCTGCAGCTGTTTGTGTACATAATAAAGAGCATGCAGGGGGACAGGACACAATCCTGGGGTGAACCTGTATTTGAAACTATGACATTGGACGTGTCCATTAACTAAGACCTGCTAGTCTTTGGAATGGGTATTATGATGGACGATTTCCTTAAAGTAGGTATCTGGACACTCTCAGCACACATCGGGAAGATTTTAGTAAAGACCTCACTGAGCTGATCAGCACAGTAGTGCAAAGTGAGCCCACAAATGGCATTGGGGCCAGCAGCTTTTCTAATGTTTATCCTTTTAAAAAGAGCCGAGACACAATCCTGAGATTTCACAATATCATTTGGAGGAACAAGAGGAACGAGAGACTCTCTCAGCATGGAGACATTATATAAGAAATTGGACCTTTCAACGCAAGAAAAAGAGTTAAAAGCATTTGCTAAGTCAGCATCATCCACACCATTTACACTAGTGAATTTACTAGACTCACCAGTATTTTGACTGATGGATACCACTGATTTAATTACTTGCCAAGCTGCTCTAATATCAGAACTACTACTGCATTTGAATATTCTTCCTATACTTCGTTTTGGGTTTCCAAATTTCATTTTTCACTTCTCTGGAGACAGCTTTCTTCTCCAGAGGATCCCCAGACAAAAAATCTTTTCTTCCTGTTGTTCAATGATTTAAGCTCTTCAGTTACCCAAGGTTTGTTAGTAGGGAGAATAACCACCTTTTTAGTTGGAATGACTGAGTTGACACAGAATGGGATGCATGAAGAAACCAAGTTTGATGATTCGTAAATGTCATCACAAGCATCATAAAAACAGTATCAATCCGTACAATCAAAGCATACCTGAAGAGAGAAGACACTGTCCTCAGACCAAATTTTTACGGTTCTCACCTTCTGCTCCAGGCATGTAAATGTCACGCCCACGAGGGCGGGACCGAGCACTGGCAGGCAATCGTCAGCTAATCGCCCCACTTCATAAAGCTGTCTAAGACCCAGGCTCATTGCAAAGTATTGTCGCCATTGTTCTAATGTGCCATACTGAGCGGTTTTCTGTCTACTGTCTTCCATGATCACCCTGCCTGCTGTGTCCTGCCCTGCTGTTCCGCCTGCCCTTACCTGCCTCACCTGTTCCATCCACCTGCCTTCTCCTGCCTGTCCTACCTGCCTCACGACCATGACTTCGTCTGCCCCCTTTAACACTGCTTCTTTCTGGCTGGAATATTAAATCAGCTGGACACTGGTCTGTGGTCTGTCTCCTCTGTTGTGACCGCCCACCACAGTAAAGGGTTTGTACACAGGCATAAGATATACACTTTCATGATAGGAAGCAACGAAGGAAAGCATGGGCAAGGATTTGTAAGCTCCATTCACAGATTCATAACAAAGGTCAATTGTATTGTTCTTATGTGTGGTGGCACAAGCCACATACTGTTCATATGTCCTCAGAGTCTCATTTAATTTCCAATGATTATAGTCTCCAAGGATAAATTTGGGGGCATCTGGACAGATTCAGTCTATTTTCTGTGTTACAACAACAATCAGCTGAAGAGCAGCTGATGTGTTGGCTTGCGTATGAAAGTAACCCAAAGTGAAAAATTGTGTTGTAATTCATGAGGTAAGTAGAAGGGATGGAGTAAAATGTTACTTACAATGGCTTACATGTCACTAACAGTAGTGTGATTCTCTCTCCTTTTTTACAGATAATGGACTCAGAGAAGAAGCTAAGAAGAACAAAGCTGAAATGGCTCAGATCTCTTCATATCTCACCTCCAATTACAGTGAGAAACTCGAGCTGCAAACCAGCTACAGCACCTGCACTGCAGAGAAAGAACAGCTGCAAATGAAGTACAGCACCTACACTGAAAATGACAGAAAAAAGCAAAGTGAGTAAAATATAAGTTCACCCCAAAACTGAAAAAAATTATGTTTTAGTGGTACTTTGTTGCTATCTATCCATCTAGGTTGTCCTGCTGGGAGTTACCTACATTTGGAGACATGGGTCATAGAAATGTCGGTCTTCTCTTGAATATAATGACAGTGAAAGGCATTATTTCTGTGGTGATTATAGTGCCAGAAAAATACATTTGAAAAATCTGACAGTAATGTCTCCTACCAGAAATCATGACCCTTGTTGTTGTAGATATAATAAACCTAAAATAGCATCAGAGGCTGTAAGGGAGAAGTAGATCACCACAGGACGTCAACTACAATTGCAAAAATTGTTTTATTAAATACAATTCATGCAGCGACCTATCGGGTTGGGTCTGGCTTCACACAAAGGGTTCTACCCAGCTCTCTCCCCATAGCACACCAACCCCTCCAAGCACGTATCGACACACGTTATCACACAGTGGATCTCACACCACGCAACATCCTGGTTAGGGCACGGCACACAAATAGCACTACAATGCACGTTGAATCCCACACTTCTGGCACAGGCAAGAGATACATGCAAGAGCATCTGGCTGCAGATCTCCACCAGGAAGATCTCCACTAGAGGGACGGAAACACGTGACCTCCACAAGCGAGTCCGGACATGACGTTAAGCAAACTTACGCCATGGAGGCAGTGTCACTACCGAAAATGTTACACCTACCGAAAATGTATCTTCCGCTACTACGCATGCGCACATTCATCACGCATGCGTCCACAAAACAACATTTTCTGGCACTTCTTTATTACGCATGCGTAATGTACACTTCCACAGGCCCAATACTGCGCATGTATTCACATTTTGCGGCAGACCGTGATGGCGTGAATCAGGGCGTGGACGTCGTGTATCATCATTCATTGGTCACGTATTGTGAGATGGGTCATTGATGTGTATATTTGTAGTTCAGCCATCACTTTATTGTGTATTTAAACCATATTGCTTTGCCGATTGTAATATTTGCATCGGTGTGCATGACAAAACTATGTTATAAACTATGTTTATGTTGTGCGTTTTAGCCCAAGATAAAACAATCGGTCATCTGTGAGAAACAAATATAATTTGCTTCATTTAGCACCACAAAACAGGAGTGTG